ACACGCTCGGTCCGTGGTCGCGCCCTGCCCGATTCCTGCGCTCTCCCCCGCAGGGCTGTGGGCGCAGCTGAGGCTGGAGGAGGCCGGCGGAGGGCACCGAGCGCCCGGGGAGTCCGTGCTCCTCTCCTGCCGCGGGTCCGGCTTCACCTTCGAGAATCATTATGTTCGCTGGTACCGTCAGGCACCCGGAGTGGGGGTCGAGTGGGTGTCCTGGATAAGCCATTATTCATCACAGATTCAGTTTGGGCCAGCAGTGGAGGGTCGAGCCACAGCCTCCCGGGACAATTCCCGCTCTGAGGCATCTCTCAGCCTGCACCTCCTGCACGCCGGGGACTCTGCCCGCTACTTCTGTGCTGTTTGCACAGAGATAGGAAATCGGCTGAGCTTGAACACAAACCACCCGTCAGTGTCCCAGCCTCGGAGCTGGAAGGGGCTGTGTCCCACAGATGTGCAGGGTTGGTCCCAAAGAGTCCTGTAGTCACAGCCTAGAATTTTCAAATATTTGAATGTACTTTTTGCTGTCCCCTAATGAGCTCTAACCCTTATGCTTGTCTTCTCAATTTTCAAGTCAGCTCATCTCTCACCTCCCAAACTGCTTCACCTTTAGAAGCAACTTTTCCTGTTTCCCTTGGAAACCGGAAAACTGGAAATACTGGAAACCAGTATTACAGGTACCCAGTGCAAATGGTGAGGTGTGAACAGCCCTGCTGTGGTTTTGGGCAGGGTTCATGTTCACTCAGTCTAGCTCATGAGTTTTGCTCCCTGAGGGGTGAGAAGAGGAAATGGGGAAATTCTAGATGGTCATTTGGGAGCTCAGTGGAAGATTACGGAACCCTGTGTTTCTTTACCAGATCTGAGATTCTAAAGGGAGCAAGGTTTTGCAGCTGCTGGATCCTGGAGATCACAAGCAGAAACCCAGGGATGTGGTGGAGCAGTTTAAGTGACTGCTTAAGCTGTTCCTGTCTGTTCATCCTTGTCTGCTGGGGTTGTAGGTGGCCTTTCCCAAGTGCAGACAAAGGCCTCAGGCCCCACAGGAGGGAAGATGTCAGAGTCTGTCTCGCTTACCTGTCACATCTCTGGTGTCCCCATCACCGACAGCAGCTACGCATGGGACTGGATCCGGCAGACTCCTGGCAAAGAGCTGCAGCACATAGTGCTGCAATATCCTTTCACAGGGCTCCAGCACATCACTTCATCCTTCCAGACCCGAGTCACCAGCTCTGCAGACCCCTCCAGGAACCAGCTGTTGCTGGAAGTGCTCTCACCAACAGCTGCAGACACAGCCACCTATTTCTGCAGCACTCGAGAACTTGAAAAGGGCACAGTGCTTGAAACACAGGCAGGGCCAGGGCAGAACTGGAAGGAGGGGCTTTAATCCAGTGGGGTCTTTTGGGGTTGCTGCAAGGCAAGACTCTTCCCAGACTTCTCAAGACTAGTCTGGGCTGTCTTTTCCCAGAAACAGATGCAACAGTAGCAATAACAGCGGCAGTCTCCCACAGGCACACCCCAAACCACGAACATGTTGTTAACTTATCACTTCCTTCTCAGTATCTCCCATAGGCAGAAAGAGCCAGGGAAACAGGGTGTTTGGGGATTTGTTTTTGTTTGTTTGTTTTTATGAAATAATGTGGTGGTTCTGGCTGGAGTACATTTCTTTATAGTACCTAGAATGGGACTATATTTTGAATTTGTGCTGGAAACCGTGTTGATAATTCAGGGGTGTTTTAGTTATTGCTGAGCAGTGCTGACAGAGAGTCAAGGCCTCCTCTACTCCTCCTACCACCCACCAGGGAGTAGCTGTGGGTGCACAAAGTCTGAGGGGGAGCACAGCTGGTTCAGCTGACCCCAACTGACCAAAGGGGTATTCCAGACCATATCACATCATGCTCAGCATTTAAAGATGGGGGAAGAAGAAGGAAGGGGGGAGCATTGAGTGATGGCATTTGCATTTCCATGTAACCTCTGTGCTTTTCTGGAGTAGGCAGAACTCTTGGGTGTTGATGAAACTAGTGAATGAATTCTTTGCTTTGCTTTGCTTGTACTCACAGTGTTTGCTTTATTTATTAAACTGTTGAGTTCTTTATTAAACCCATGAATTTTCTCATTTTTACTGTTTCAATTCTCTCCCCCGTCCAACCAAGGGGAAAGGAGAAAGCAGCTGTGTGGTGCTGATTTGCCATCTGTGGTGGAACCATGACAAAGAAACAAATGAGCATTGAATGAGTTAAAATTTTAACAGGGAAAGGCAGAAGTCAACTGCATTTGGACACTTCATATTGTTTAGGGAGTCTCACAGGAATGTTGCAGCAGCCCATAACCATAGTCAATTAATTGTATCTTAGAAGAGAGTGGCCCTGCACCAGGAACTGCACTGCCAAGATGTTTTTTTCCCAGGAGATGATTAAAAAAATTCCTTCTCTGCACTCCTGTCTTTGGTTCCATGTGAATAAACACAGGTGTTCTTATTCTGAGGACTGACCATTCATTTCTTTACTTGGAAGTGTAGATTTTCAGGGAAGGTATTTGGAGACCCATGCAAATGCATCCATGTGCTTGTGTACATGGGCACAGTGCCCGAGGCATCCTCTACAAGAGCTGCAGATGCTGGAGGGTCACTTGTCCCCAGACTTTGCCCCCCATTTGGCTCTGTGGAAGGATTGCTGCAGTGGATTAATCTAAGAGCCATTCAGCACAGGAGACTGTCAGGCCATTGTCAAATGTCTTGCAAAGGCTACAAATACAGAGGAAAGGCCACTTTATTTCTTCTGTTACCACCCTCTTTTCTTGTAGGTGTCAGCAGCTCAGGGACTTCCCCCAACAGACATTGTAGCTCACTTTTTCAAATCACTGCTTTTACCTGTCCTCTCCACAGGGAATGTTGTGACTTACTGTTTCACCTTAAATATCTAGTTTCCTATGATCCCTTATAGTCTCTCTAGAGAATCCACGACCAATAACATCTGTTTTGGAAGAAAGGTTGAATGGGATGGTTCTGTCCACAGAAGAATAGAATTCCCACCACAGCCTTTAAGAGAAAAGTTGCCTTCTTGACCCAGGTATTCCAGAACCAGCTCTCCATCAATAAAAATCCACGGACACAGGCTCTTGTAAATGTGTGATGAAATCAGGTGGATGTGTGTGAAAACAGGCTCAGAGTGAGCTGGTCCCCCCCCCATCTCCCCACCAAAAAAAGGAGAAAATTTTGTTAAAATACAAATGGAGGTTTTGGGGGGAACAAGAAGAATTATGCTGGAAGGGCCAGGATACTTTCTTCTGGAAAACAGCAGTGTCAACCTTTCAGCAAGGACTGAAGGAATTCAAACAACCTCTGAAATGTATCTTCATCTGCCTGTGACACATTTCTAGAGGAGAGGGGGACTCCCTCTGTTCCCGTTTCCTCTGAAGCAGAACTCAAGGAGGGCTCTTCAGTATCATGTAGTGGAACACAACCTAAACATTCTCTCCAACACGTCACTGACAGTAGTGGGGCACCTCCTGTAATTTTTTGGAGGGCCTGCACCGGGACAGACATA